CCTACCATTATGTATAATTAAAATTCACCAATTAAAAAAACAAAGGGAGAGATTCTAATAAATGCATGGTTAGGTGATTTCATCCTGTAAGAACATCACAGAGTATACTTAGGCAGACTAAGGGAACTGTGACATCACTAGGCAATACAACCTAATGGGACCATTTTCTTGTATGCCATCTGCTGTTGACAGAAAAATCATTATACAGTGCATGACTATATAGGAAATGAAGTGCAGGCCACCTAATCAGTGGCATCCAATCCTTGACTTCCCTGTAGGGTCAAACTTTTAGTCTCTACCCCCAAATATGTGGATGATTGTCCAACACATTCAGAGGGCACAGGGTTGACATAGTCTATGTTCCTTATCACTCCAAACATAAATCACCTGAAGACTTAGGGGGGTAGGAAGAAGTCAAAGTGGGAATCCTGGATTCTCTTTAGCTAATAAACAATGAAAGGAAGGGTGTACATTTAGCAAGGAGAAAATATTGGCCCACTTTTCTCATTCATTCAACCAATAATGTATGCTTACTGTGTGAGTCAGAGAGCACAGCCTAACTCCCTGCCCTTGGGGACCTGACTTTCAGGTGGGGAATACAACCAACAGAAAGCTAACATGAATTGATTATTGATTCAGTTAGGCTATAACTGGAAATATTAGAAAAGCAGAGTAAAAAGGAGAGAGGAAGGGGGAAGATCTGGCATTTGGGAGGCTGGCCAACATGTTTCTGAATGTGAATATTTTTTTAGATATATAATAAGGGTGCAAATCCTAATACTGATTGCTAACTTCTAGGAGGTCAACTCTGTGCTAGGCACTGTGTGGAGTGTTTACTTAGATATCTCATTTTGTTTCATGGCTGTGTCAGTTCTTCAAATCTCTAAGGCAGGATGCCAGACCTTAGCTCTTGGCCTCAGCCTTCTCCATCTTCATACTTTTGTCTTTGCAGCAGGAATTGCTTTCAAAACATTGGTTTTAATTTCAGTCTTCCATTGAGTGGGTGTCCCCAAGAACTCTAGCACTTACAGAATATAGTGGTTAAATCCTAAGTAAATGGGCTCTGGCTGTCCTTTGAAGATTTAGGTATAGTGGTAGAATTTTCCATGGAAATGGAGGGGAATGAAAAAGCAAAAGGGAGGGAGCCCTGGGATCTCTGTTGTTTTGACTCCACAGACGACTCCACTTGTTGGTTGGCTGAAGAGGTGCTGACGGCATGGGCCGTGGCTGTTTATTGCTCTATTAACTTCACAGTGAGAACAAGTTCAGGCTGATTGCTGGGTGGCCTCCCTGTATATGTCACTTCCTTTTTTTTCCTTTTTTTTTTTTAACTTTTGGGAGGACTGTATGGTTTGTTGGGACTTCTAGGGTTTTGCTGTGAGAAAGGCCTGCCAGAAGGTCTGGCATCCCTCCTCAAGACTGAGACATGGCAGAAAAGATGGGACTGCCAGGCCACTTCCCTGGTTTCGAAATTTGATTGGTGACTTAGAGAAGAACCCATTGACCATCTACCCACTCTTGGTGAGAGGGAATTCATTCCTACAATTCTAGAACTTTCCAGGCCTGCTCTGTCCCTGGAGCTAGATAAAAGAATAGGAAGAAGATCTAATAAGAAGTCAATAGCAACTGTACCCATGATGGGCCATAATTTGGACTCAAAAAATATAGTTCTGAGTGGTTTTAGCATAGCTTTCAGCCAGGATTGAAGCCTTAAGTGATTCAGTAGAAAAAATTTGAAACAGAGATTTTTATCAGTGCAGTAAGTGAGAACACAAGTCAGGACTTCAGATGACACATATAGATTCCTTGAACTTAGTGGGATTTTCTTTCTCTCTTTCTTTTTCTTTATAATTTTTTCATTTGTTCCAATTAGTTGCACATGACAGTAGAATGCATTTATGCACTTTGATAGATCATACATAAATGGGGTATCATTTTTCATTTTTCTGATTATACATGTTATAGAATCACATCAGTCATGCAGTCATATATGTACATAAGGTAATAACGTCTGTTTCATTCTATTATCTTTCTTATCCCCATATCTCCTCTCCTCCCTTCACTCCCCTCTACCTAGTCTAAAGTCACTCTGTTTTTCCCTAGAACCCCACCCCTCTTATTGTGAATTAACATCTGCATATCAGAGAAAACATTAGGCCTTTGGATTTGGGGGATTGGCTTATTTTGCTTAGCATGATATTCTCAAACTCCATCCATTTACCAACAAATGCCATAACTTCATTCTTCTTTAAAGCTGAGTAATATTCCATTGAATATATGTATCACATTTTCTTTATACATTCATTTATTGAAGGGCACCTAGATTGATTCCATAGTTTAGCTATTTTGAATTGAATTGTTATAAACATTGATGAGGCYACATCACTGTAGTATGCTCAACACCAAAAAACAACCCAATGAATAAATGGGCTAAGGAACTGAACAGACACTTCTCAGAAGAAAAAAATACAATCAACAAATATAAGAAAAAATGTTCAACATCTCTAGCAATTAGAGAAATACAAATCAAAACCACTCTAAGATTTCATCTCACTCCAGTCAGAATGACGATCATCAAGAATATAGGCAACAATAACTGTTGGTGAGAATGTGGGGGAAAAGGAACACTTATTGCTGGTAGGACTACAAATTGATGCAATCACTATGGAAAGCAGTATGCAGATTTCTCAGAAAACTTGGAATGGAACCACCATTTGACCCAGCTATCTGACTCCTCAGTTCATACCCAAAGGATTTCTTTCTTTTTCTTGAATTTGTCATTTTCAATTTACTTTCTATAGTGTTCTTACAAAATGCCCTTCCCTTATGCTCCCAGATGCATCCTACACACTCCATGAGACTGTTCTCCATTGCACTCTGATTCCCAGGTACCATTGTATACCTGAACCCCTTCCCTCTTTGACTTCCCCTGTCTGAATTACCAAGTTTACAAAGCTTACTTAGCTTCTTCAACATGGCCTTGACTGGCCCTTTCTCCTTGCTCTCTCCTGTCCCTCCACATCCCTSCTCTTTGGTCATGCACTTGACATCACACCACCCACGCCTGCAAATTCCTGCTGCTGCTTTGCTCACACTGCCCCCTCCAGCGAGTCCCCACTCAAGTCCACCATCCCTCTGAAGGTATCTTTGCTCCCAGTTCTACTTGCCTCTCCCTCCTTAACCTCCAGTAACCCTTGAAATCTCCACCATGCCTTTAGCATGGGACCACATTTCTTCACTATCTTGATGATCATCTCAGATCTAAGTGCAAGGCCAGGAAATTTGTTTCATTATTCTGTCACATCTACTTTGAGGCTGAGCATAATACAGTGCAGAAGTTCGTCCCAAATAAATGACTGGAGGCTAAATGGAACAGCCTCCTCCCTTTCCCCACCCAAGGACAAATCTTGGATGACTCTCACCTTCCCCTTTGTTTATCCCACCACTGACAGACCCCTGCAGAGCCCTTCAGGAAATGCCAGAACCTTCATCCTCACTCCAAGCTCATAACAAGATGGCTTTCCATTTTCTTGGTTTGTTTTTAAACAAGAAGAATCTGTTTTCAGGAGGAATCGCAAAAGAGATTTTAAAAAGTCAGATAAAAATAAAGACGGATGACWTAAAGGAGTTAAATTTTGTCTCTTTGTCCCCTTCCCTGGCCTTCCTCTGCATCCCCCTCCCCCTCGCTCTCTGTTTTGCTTTTCATGCCAATTGCTAAAGACTGTAATTTAAAAACTGAACTGACTTTTCCAGAGCCATGAAGAATGTGCATCTGCACGTGGATTTTTCCACAAGAAAATTGTCCCTGTCTTTTGGTTCTCCTTAGCCAGTAACAGTGAGAACAGGCAATCGGATGCATCYATCCATATTCCCAGTTCTTATTCTAATTTGTTGGAGAGGCTCAGAAGGGGTCAAAAGGGATGGTTTGTGTTTCACCCTGTCAGACTGCTGTTTGATGAGGTTTGTGCTCCATTTGTTCAGATGGTTTTTATGGTTTCTTTGTTGTTCGTGGAAAGACTTTGAAAGTCATAATTCTGTATCCTTAAGCCCTCCTGCTATTCCTGCTCCAAGTCTCAATGGGACTCACACCACGAGAAAGGAAATGACGAAAGTATCCAGCCAGATAGTTAGGCAATTTTTGAGCAAAGTTCTGTAGATGTTTGGACTCTTTGAAAAAAGATTGGAGAACACAAAAGTTCAGGTTCCATGGAATTTTCTCCAGTATATCCCAGAAGCAAGCTTCTAGTCATTTCCAAGCAGGAACCACAATTCTGGCCTTTTCCCTTTCTCTATGGTCATCAAGCCCAGCCCCCTCGACTACCAGCAGAAAAGTCTGAGAGACCTAAGACAGCCTGGAATAGGCTCACACTCTMAGAATCCTCCGACAACATCAGTGTGCTGAAATAAGAGGCTGGTGGTGGCCTCCCAGGGATGTCAGAGGCTTAGACTTTGAGATATTCAGATATTCATGGAACTTTTCATCTGGACATTCCCCATCTCTTCAGAGTTGCTCAAGGGACTTTGCTATACAACTATGGACACGTTTTCTTTCTAACCTCTTGTTAATTTATATTTGTAGAAAACTGTATAAGGTGCTTTACATACATAATCTCATTTGGTCATTAGTACAACCCCATAAGGTAAAATTGTATTTTCATATTAAAGACAGTTAAGGCTTAGAGCAGTCTTATGATTCATTAATCACCAACAGATAAGGCAGAGATGGAACTTCAACTGTACCTCCAACTTTAAATTTAGGGTTGTCCATACAACTTCAGCTTCCAGATAAGACTGAGACCTTCTCAAAATCAGTGTTCATGTTTCTTCCACCACCCCACCTCCAAACCCAGGGGAAAAGTACACTTCAGGAATTTAGTGATGTTTAAAAAGTTATTGCTGAACTAAATTTAATTTCTTCTGATCACTAAGAGATAATCTCCATGCAACCTTTTTGCAAAGCAAGCAAAGCTAACATATCCCTATTTATTGTTTTTCATTAGATCCTTCTTATGACTCAGTCAGGAGAGGAGGATGGGGCAATAACATGAATTCTGGCCTCAACAAAAGTAAGTAAATGTCATAGCATTCTTTGGGAGGAAAGCATTTTTCTGAGGATAGGGGTGGAGAATAGGACCATGAGATAAAGAATAGGAGCAAGCACCATGCTTTATGAATAGATATCAACATTAATTTCCAGGAGCTGGGTATAGCTCAGTGATGGAGCACATGCTTAGCACATACCAGGACCAGGGTTCAATCTCTAGCACTAAAAGAAAAAATATATTAATTTTCAACTTAGAACCTATCCATGATACCCACTCCCCGAAAGATTGTATGGGATTTTTTTGTTTAAATCTTTGAGATTTATTTCATTGCACTTGGTTTTAGAATTTTTGGAGTTTGAAAGGTTTCTTGGGACAACTTTCTGTAGGAATGAAAGGTCACTGGGTTTGGATTCTGTAAGTTATATCAGGATAATGAACCTCTATGACTTTGTTCCTCCGATTGATGAGGCTTAGTCAAACCAATGTTTCTATCCTTATTTTGTGAATGACTGAGATGCAAGATAACCTGATGAGAAGATGGTAGAAGTCAGAGTCATCAATTTGTCCACCAGCTGGTGAGGATATGACAGTTAACCCAATACTTCCCATTAAGGGAGTTAGGAAAGAGAATGATTCATGAGTTCAGAACCAAAGTATGTCAATCCTGTTGTCTTAGGAAGTAAAATATCAAGCCAATGAATTAAAGACAATAATTTTGAGAAAGCACTTACGATTCCAAATGAATGCCTAAGCAATAACTAAGATCCCTTTTGGCTTTATGTATTCATTATTTGCTTACTCTGCACCTAGCACTTGGCTCCTTGGGACTCACAAAGATGAATCAAACAGGGCAGGGCAGAAATCATACACTCCCTTTTTTTTTTTTTCATCTGGATGATATCCAGGAAGACACTGTGGACCTGCTACCATTTAAGTTAGTTCTGGAAGGAGAGGCAGGGTTTGCACCTGGGGAGATGAGGTAGAAAGGCACTTCAGTAGACAAGGATACAGGAGGAAGGCATTTGGAGTTGGTATATCTGGTTAGAACCCTGGGTTCCTGGAGTTCAGTGAATGTGGTAGAAAAGAAGCCTGGAAAGGTAAGAATGGGATTGTGAATGATGCTATGAAGATGGACTTACTTCTCAGGCAACCAGGAGTCACTAAGGTTTCTAAACAGTGAAGTGGATGATGGGTCTGAGGGAAGAGTGAAGGGTGGTAAGGATGCCACTCAAGTTAAGACAGAGATCACACAAGAAGCAACAGAGATCCAAAATGGAGAAGCAAGTGTAGGAATGGGGCGGGCGTGGGTCAGAACTATCAAAACTTACAAAGCATGGAATCATGGGATGCGGATGACCTTAGCTCAGATATCATCTTCTCATTGAAGACCTTTCTAAATGTCCTATTTAAAAATTAACTCTGTAGCCCCAGTACCAAGAGACACACTAAACTATTGCTTTAAAATTTTGGGTACCAGGGATTGAACCCAGGGGCACCAAAAACTGAGCAACATCCCAGCCCTTTTTTATTTTAATTTTTTTGAAACAAGGTCTTGCTAAATTTATCAGGGCCTTGCTAAGTTGCCAAGGCTGGCCCTGCGATCCTCCTTCCTCAGTCTCTGGAGTTGCTAGGATTTGGGCATGGTGGCACATGCCTATAATCCCATGCCCAGCTACTTCTTATTTATTTATTTGTTTATTTATTTGTTTGTTTGTTTCCTTAATTTTTTTTTTTGTCTCTTCTGTTAAAATGTAAGCTCTACAGCAACTGCTTGTTAACTGCTGAATCTCCTGCACAGAGAACAGGGCCAGCACAGAGTGATCCTTGATAAATATTTATAAAATGAAATGAATATGAGTCAATGGAGACTGAGTGAATGGAAGCCCAGGCATCCGCCTTCTGGCTTCTGACAAGATGTTTCTTTCCCTCATGCAGAATGTCTCACATCTTTTCTCTCCTCTGCTCAGGTCCTCCCCTTTCAGGGGCACAAACGATGAGTAAGAACACAGAACAGCGGCCCCAGCCAGGTACTGGACTTAGATGTACACTCTCTCCTTTGCTTCTTATGAATTCCACGTGGTCCACTTCTGGATGGAGGATTTAGAAAATATGCAGTTGGCCCTCCATACCTGTGGGCTCTGCATCCAGGGATTCAATCAACCTCAAAACAAAAAATGGTCAAAAAAACCAAAAAAAGGCTGTAGATATGCTGACTTTTTTCTTGTGATTATCCCCTAAATAATAGAGTATAACAGCCATTTATGTAGCGTCTACATTGTACTAGGTATTATAGTAATTTAGAGATGATTTAAAATATATGGGATGATTATGTAGGTCATATGCAAATATTACAGTACATTTCATTGGGGGCTTGAGAAACCATGGATTTTGGTATCTTTGATGCAGGGGAATAGGCATGGCAGCTGGAACCAATCCCCCATCTATGTGGAGAGATAACTACTATGTATGTTACGTCTGTCTTCTTTCCAAAAGAGTCTATATTTGATTCCCTATAATATATCTGTGAATTAAGTAATAAGTATTAAAATCAGACAGACTTGTAAAATAGTATAGGTGAAAGGAACTTAAAGATTAAAGTTCCAGGGCCCGGAGAGGTCAGTAATTTGCTAAAAACTACACAGCTGGTGTATGAAAGGACTTGAGTTTTCACCAGCATCCTACACTCTTGTCTGAGCCTTTTATGCTTCACCAAACCATACTTTCCAAAAATATCCTCATCCTTTGATGGATCTATTTAGCTTAAGACAGAAGACACTTTTAAACCATGGTCTTAAAGACGTTTAGTATTGGAATGGAACTTAGAGACTCAAGCCTATTGACACCTTCTATAATGTTTTGGTCCTACACTTAACTCACCTTTAATTCAATACTTACAGAAGAGCAGGGAGTTGACTACTTAGTTCAGCTCAATTCCACTCTCTGAGCCAAAGTCCTCCCAATACCTTTCTCTTCAAATTCCTTGTTTGCCCCCTGAAGAAAAGCCCTATATGAAAGTCCTTTATAGATCTAAAGTCAGCTGTTGTCCCCAAGCCCAGACCCCAGCTTTACCCTGTATTTTTTACATGACACAGCTGCTATTAAGTTCTGAACCAGCCATCTGTTTTGAGATGAGCTAGCATCATTCTCCATCTCTACCCAAGACAGAACAAGAGAAAATTGCCCAGGAAGGTAAAGACAAAACCTGATGTGAAACACAAGTCAGATGTAGAGAGTTTCAAACGAATTCCAGCAACAACAAAATTAGACACTACCTGCCAAAAATATTTTATTTATCATACTAAAAGTGTGATTGAAAAAAGTGGACTAAATGGCCTTAAGGACTCTTCAAGTCAATTACTGATTCTAAATAGAAACCTAAAAGTCGTACTGATTTGTTTAAACTGCAATTATAAAACAGTCAAATCCTACAGAAGAGTTAACATGGCCAAGTTGAGATCCAGTTCTCTACCATGATTTCCTCAACTAAAAAAAAAAAAAGATGACTATCACCTAAACCATACTGCAAAAACTTTTTTATGGCTAAATAATCACATAAGTTGTAAGTAAACTGAGATTTTAAGAACAGTGATTTTAGAGCTAAAATACAAATTCTGGTTAGTGTTGTCCTTTCCAAGTTTCAAATCACAGAGTGTTGTTCTAGAAGGGAACTGAGGCCAGAAGCCCAACCTACTCATTTTGCAGATGAGAAAACTGATACCCAGAAATTGTCCAACAAATTATTTAGTTTATAACAAGGTTGGGGCTACAACTCAAATGGCTTGGTTTCCAGGCATGTGGTTTTTATGCTCCATCAGTAATGTTTTTAGTATTAGGTGGAACTATTAAAGACCAGCTCTCATCATAAGACCTTCTTCAAGCCCATTTAATAACTGATCCTTCAGTTTACTCACTGCGTGGTTGAATATTAGTCAGCTCCTTTCCAAACATTTCCATGATTTTGTTTTGGGTAATGACAGTATAATCTATAAATTTTAGAAACCAAATATGAAAAAATGATGCTGTCACTATTCCATGATATTTCGACCATACTGAGATCAAAATCTTGGAGGTATTTAAATAAAAGCAATGAAGTTTTCTGAAATCAGACTTTCCTATGATATTGCAATAAAAATAGAACCCATTGGAGTTTTGTTATCATTGATGCTATTGTTATATGTTTATTAACAGCAAAGCTAACTTCCTTTTTTTTTCCTTAGATCCATATCAGATCTTGGGCCCCACCAGTAGCCGTCTAGCCAATCCTGGTAAGTGCATTGGCCTGCAAGCCTTTCTTTGCAGAGTGTCTCCAAGCTTTGGGTGGTCATGCAGACCTATGTCCTGAGGGCAGACACCTGAGTGTGGAGTAGCCTATGCTTCTTCCCTTGAACTGCTAAACACCTGTTCCAGGGTATAGCAACATCTCTGCTGAGGTTCAGACTACTAGGAAATGGCATAGGTAGAAGTTTCAATAGGGAAAAAGGGAGAAGTAAGAAAGGAAACAACTCCTATGAGATCTGTTATCCCATCCATGAAAGAATCAAGTGAACAAATATTCCAAAAGTGTTTCAGGCCAGGCATGGTGACACATGCCTGTAATTCCAGTGGCATGGGCGGCTGAGGCAGGAGGATCACGAGTTCAAAGCCAGCTTTAGCAATGGTGAGGCACTAAGCAATTCAGTGAGACCCTGTCTCTAAATAAAACACAAAATATGGCTAGGGATGTGGTTCCATGGTCAAGTGCTCCTGAGTTCAATCCCCAGTACCAGAACAACAACAATAACAACAACAAAACAATGCTTTCGTTAGTTTGTTTGTTTTTGCTTTTTGAGGTACTGGGGATTGAACCCAGAGGTGTTCTACCATTGGCCTATAACCTCATCCCTTTTTATTTTTTGAGATAGGGTCTCACTAAGTTGCCCAGGCTGGTCTCAAAGTTTAGTCCTCCTGCTTCAGCCTCCAAAATGGCTGGGGTTATAGGCATAGGCCACTGTACCTGGCTAGTGTTTCAGTTTTGATTTTAGAAAGTGTTGTAGAATTCTCTGGCCTTCTAAAAGAGCTGTGTCCCTGAAAAGTTGCACATAAAGTACACTTGACATTGTTTCAGGGTTTATTATTAAAAATAACTCCTGGGTGAGTTATTCTAAACAAAAACTACTAGGACTGGGAGCTAATAGACCCTTTGCAACAGTGAGGCCCACAAGTCTTCCTGCTGCAGGGAACTAAGTCTCCCTACCTATTCTTTCACACCTGACCAAGATAAAGAAGCCACCCAGCATCTCCTCTTACTCTTTTTCTCTCTGTTCAAGTTCTTCTGCATAGAACTTAGAGCTGAGAACTAAACACTAGAACTCTGCTAGGAAACCTGGTTTGGTCAACCTGAGCCTGTAAGTGCCTTCTCTCTATGACAATTAACATGTTGACAGGGAAGACCTTGGGTGACTTCATCACTTAGTAGAAATCACACAGTGATTCAAGTCTAACTACAAGGGAATCAAAAATCTTGCCAAAAAGGACATAGGAACTTGACTTGCCCAAGTCCATAATAGCTAGTTTGGGACAAAGCCAGCACTTTATTATCAGGTCTTTGGGCAAATGATCTTAAGATCTAATTGTGCTTATTAAGCCCCTCTTAGTGATAACCACTATACAGTAATAATTTAGTGTACATTTCAAACTAGTTAGAGATTTTTAATGTCCTCATCACAAAATAATGATAAATATTGAGGTGAGGGACATGCTACTTACCCTGATTTGATTATTACATATTGTATCACCCTGTACCCCATAAATACATACAATTGTTACGCATCTTTGAAAAGAAAAAAGAATGGTAAGAAGGGCGTGTCAAAGTGATTCTCAATGTGAAAGGAAATGAGGTTTCTTACAAAGGTTGAAAGAATCCCCATCAGGGAGTTTTGGGCTCTGAGTTCCCCAGGCTGAGATACTCTTCTGTTTGCCTCACTGCCTGCAGGAAGTGGGCAGATCCAACTGTGGCAATTCCTCCTCGAGCTACTCTCTGATAGTGCCAACGCCAGCTGTATCACCTGGGAGGGGACCAACGGGGAGTTCAAAATGACGGACCCCGATGAGGTGGCCAGGCGCTGGGGAGAGCGGAAAAGCAAGCCCAACATGAATTATGACAAGCTGAGCCGGGCCCTCCGATATTACTACGATAAAAACATTATGACCAAAGTGCATGGCAAAAGGTATGCCTATAAATTTGACTTCCACGGCATTGCCCAGGCTCTGCAGCCACATCCAACCGAGTCGTCCATGTACAAGTACCCTTCCGATATCCCCTACATGCCTTCCTACCACGCCCACCAACAGAAGGTGAACTTTGTCCCTCCCCACCCTTCCTCCATGCCTGTCACTTCTTCCAGCTTCTTTGGAGCAGCGTCACAATACTGGACCTCTCCCACTGGTGGGATCTACCCTAATCCCAATGTCCCTCGTCATCCTAACACCCATGTGCCTTCGCACTTAGGCAGTTACTACTAGAACCTTACTCATCAGCGGCCTTCTAGCTGAAGCCCCAATTCTCACTCTTCCTGGACACTTTGGACTCTAAAGGACATAGGTGGCCTTGAAGAGAAAACAAAACTGGATCTTCTTTTTCATTGGATAGAACTTTTGTATTTGTTCTTAAAAACATTTTTTTTAATGTCAATAACTTTTTCTTCCTCTACCTAAACAAAGAGATGGAACATTCCATGGGCCAGTACGCCATTTTGGATTCTCAATCTCCTATCATCATATGAGTTGAGTATTTAGATGACTGGAATGGTTATATCATGGTTCTGAGAAAGAAGCTATGATTTTCTTTATATTTGTGTGAGCAGAGCAGTTTCTTATCAACACACGGGTCTCATCATTGTAGAATTCAGTACAATAATAGATCATGGACTTAACCAGTCATGTTCTGGTTTGAGACTTAGTGAAAATAGACACAGGAAGCTTATAATCTTTTGGGGGGGGGAACCTAACTCAGTGGATGGCAACTGGAACACTGGCTGTTAGCCAGTGATGTTTTCACCCAACTGGAATTTGAAAGAAAGAACATATATGTGTGTATTTAAGAAGCCATGGGCATTGCAAAATCCCATCCGTGGGCAATATGTACTCACTGACCATTCTCTCTAGAAATAGTCAAGAATATGAACTAAGAAATTTTAATGCAAATACAGACATTCCTAAAAGACAGAGAATTAAATAAATTTTTTAAATGACAGTGGGTCCCAGAACTTTGAAAAGTCATAGGGATTTCTAACTTGAAGAGATTCGCAAGCGCTGTGCGTTTGTCAGACCATCAGACCAGGGTCAATCATTCAAAAGGCAACTTACTGTATAAATTATGCAGAGTTATTTTCCTATATCTCACAGTATTAAAAAGTAAATAGATTAAAAAATTAAAAAGATAAATAAACGAGTTGACCTCGGTCACAAATGCAATTTTACTATCAAATCAGTCATTGTTATTTTTTTAATGTAATTTGTACATCTTTTGTCAATCTGTACATTTGGGCTATTTGTACGTTTTTATAGCTGGTTTTTAAAAAGCATAATGTGACTATTGCTGAAAAGAAAACAGGGCGTTTAAGTCATTGATTTACTGGGAAGAGAAGCACTGGTACAGTTATTTTACAGGAATGCACAGGCAAGAAAGGACAATCCATTTAAATCTTTAATGCTTTGGAAACGTTTGTAAATAACAGAACTGCAATAATCTCAACGCTAAAGAGAACAACCAAACTTTCCCTTGTGGAGACGAGGGATTTTCCTGCTCCATATATGCAATATATTTTTTAGACATTAAAATATATATAATTTTGCAGGTAATCGTTGACTTTTTAACTATATTAAGTGTTAAGCTGACAACTGTCAATGAAGACTATGTTGTAAAATAATTTGACTAAATAAATTGTGCCTTCTTCTCTCAGAACTGCTGACACTGTTTTTTTATTTACCCACTGGTCAAATGGTTTACCAGGGCAAGTTTCCTACTCAGCACTTATAACAAGAATTTCTTCAAATACATACACAATTCCATATAGTAGAAGGTATAAAATTCATGTGGGTTGGCATTGTTGTTGATAATGTTGGCAGTTTTTTTGGTTTTTTTTTTTAATGCTATAAATCTTCTTTCAGTCTGAAATGGTTTTATAAGAGGAGAACAAAGGCCATGGATAATCTGTGTCCAAGGACCAGAACAAAGCAAACAGATCCATCCAGGATGGACCTCGTCCATTGCACCTACCGAGCACTTCAAAACCAGGTGGTCAACCTCCTGACTTTCCCAAAAGAGAACAAGAGCCCAGCTTCCTTTTGGTCCCATGCCAGGATTTTATGGACCGTGCAGATTTTTAAGGTCCTTTTCCTTTCCAGAGAAGAAACTTGCTTCAAATTGCTTAACTGTTATGTAGTTTGTTTTCATTTCCTCTATTACACAATCAAAAGGAATGAAACCCTGAAAGTCCTTCATGTTGCAAGGACACTCACAGCATTAGCAACCTGTGGCATTCTCAGGTAAAATGGAGTACATGCTGGTTCCTGTCTACCAAATGAAAAGAGATGTGTTCCTGAACATTGGTGTCCATTTTTTTAATCTTGCACCTCACCATTAAAAAATATGTTAAACACATATTTTCCATATATGCACAATGACATATACAACGGTTACATTATTACTACAGGTGACCCTCTACATTTGCAGATTCAACCAACCAAGGATTGAAAAATTTCAGAAAAAAAATTAAATTGTGTCTATACTGAACATGTACAGACTTTTTTCTTGTCATTATTCCCTAAACAATTGTTCACAAAGAATTTACATTGTATAGATATCTTAAATAATCTAGAGATTTAGGGAAGGCCATACATAGTTTGTATGCAAACACTATACCATTTTACATAAGGGACTTAAGCATTCATAGATTTTGATGTCCTTAAAGGGTCCTGGAACCAATCCCCTCACAAATACCCAAGGGCAAATAATACATATTATGTATTATAAAACACAAAACATAATATTTATATTATATACTTTATATTGCATCAATGTGTATGTTTATGTACTTGTATGAATTTTCTAGTGCTTTTTAAGAAAGAGAAAATAAAAACTTGGTATTATTGGCCCGAGCATAGAAAGAGAAATGATGAAGGCCAGGTATGTTTAAGAATAGTCTAATACATTCATTTAGAATTCTCCATTTCAGGCAAGGAATTTTCACATCAATTTTAAACTCTGCAAAATATTCATTAGGGAAAACAGAAGCACACATTTCTAACTGCTCTAACAAGTACAGATGCTCATACCTTTAGGAGTTTATCCTTTTAGGAGGGTTTTTTTTTTTTTAACATTTCTTATTCAAACCCTGGCTTTTGTTTATTACCTATACAAAGTCTTGAAACTTTTACCGAAACTTGCATCCTGATATGTTCTACAGTAATTTATTCCATGGTTCAGAAGCCAGTCCACTCACTGACAGGACCGTGATGCATTTTGCCCTTATATGCATTTGTACTGAGGGAGGACTGAAACTTAGTCCCCTGTAATGCCAAGACTTAAAAGTTTACTTGCTGGCTCACAGGCATCCAGCTGCCTCGCTGCCCCCAGCAAACAGGCTGTTTACCCTCCCAGCTGCTAGCCAGTATTTTCCCCACTTAATCATTCTGTACCTGTAGCATGAAGTTTATATTGTCTATCAAACAGTGAAAGCCAAGCAGAGAGGTTCTCAGCAAGCCTGTGAGCAATTCTAAGGAAAGCCGATCCTCTCCAATTCAGGAGACCAGCCAACAGCCCTGGGAGGGGAGGTTTTCTTAGTCCACTCAGGAGACTATAACCAACTATCGTAGACTAAGTGGTTAATAAGCAAGAGAAATGTATTGCTCATAGTTCTGGAGCCTGGCAAGTCCAAGATCAAGGCACCATTGGATTTGGCGTCTGGTAAGTTCTCACTTTCTGATTATGGCAGCTTCTCACTGTGTTCTCATAAGGTGGCAGGGACAAGGAAACTCTCTGGGATCCCTTTCATAAGGTACAAATTCCATTCAGGAGGGCTTTATCCTAATGACCTAATCACGTCCCAAAGGCCCCACCCCCAAATATCCTCTATTGGGATTTAGGTTTCAATGTACCACATTTCAGGGAGAGGGAAGACACAAATATGCAGTTTATAGACGAGGCCATCTGTTTTTAGTGTCAAAAAATATTTTGATTCCCACACAAATGAAGTTATATTTTCAATAACTGTTGTTTCCAAATATTTTTAGTGGTCATGGGTAATGCATGAAGGGTGGATCTTTGGATTGTGTATCTTTGGTTTAGACTGAATGAGATCAGGAGGGTCTAGTACACTAACAAGGAAAGGAACATCTGTCCACCCCAAGCCAAGGCATTGGTGAGTAGGGAAACTTTTAAAAAATAATAAAGTGTAGTCAGTTCTTTTTATCAATAGGTTTCACATCTGCATATCCAATTGCAGATTGAAAATACTTAAAAAATTAATTGATGAGGCTGGGGATGTGGCTCAAGTGGTAATGCGCTCACCTGGCATGCGTGGGGCACTGGGTTCAATCCTCAGCACCACATAAAAAAATAAAATAAAGATGTTGTGTCCACCAAAAACTGAAAAATAAATATTAAAAAATTCTCTCTCTCTCTCTCTCTCTTAAAAAATTGAATCTTTACTGAATGTGTATAGGCTTTTCTCCCCTTGTCTTTACTCCCTAAATAATATAGTACAGTAACTGTATCCATAGCATTTTCATTGTGTTAGGTATTTTAAGTAACCTAGAGAGATTTAAAGTATATGGGACATATGTGTAGATTGTATGCAAATGCCATGCCATTTAATATAAGGGACTTGACTATCCACCAGTTTTGATATCCTTGTGGAATCCTGGAACCGATTCCCCACAGATTCCAAAGGATGACTGTATTTCTATGAAAAGACTATGGATTTTGTTTCACACATTACTTCCTCTAATATCTGTTTATTAACAACTTTCAAGCAAATATGTTGCCTTGAAAACTATTGTGCACTTTGGGAGAACATGCCCGGGAGAAGCAGCCTTTGAGTTTGGCTCTCTGCTGTCCAGCCTGGCCCCTGCACCTCCTTGAGGTCTTCTTCTCAGAGGTTCCTCCACCCTCCACAGCACCACTAGGCTTCTGCCCAGAGCTCCCACAGGAGTTGGTAGTGAGATGGTGTGGAGTCTCCCCAGGGAACAGAGTGAGTTGGAGGTGAAGAACTGGAATGAGGGGCCAGGGAGCTGGTTCTGGTGAATATACAGAGGCTTTTCTCTTATCCAGGAAGGAATTTGTGTTTTGCAAAACGCACATTGGGTATTTCATCACATAGCAAGCTACTGAAATTGACACTGCATGCCTTCAGCCAGGGAGTCCCCCTAAAGGATTATGAAAGGTCGACTGATTCCAAGACTACAAATCCCAGGCTCCCTCGGGGGACAGACACTTCTGAGAGGAAGTGGTTTAGCCAGGCAAACCTCTAGGGTTTCAGCCAACTGAGAAAGGATATGGAGGGAAGCTTTTAAAAGGAATGTCAGCTCACATGCCTGGGGTCTGTCTCCCTCTCTCACTCTTACTTGGCCTCCTGTCTTAATTGTTTCAGTCTGTCTGAGCTGGTAAATTCCTAAGCACATAGTCAATTTACACTTAGCTTAAAAGCTCTAGGGGGAAGCAGAAAAACTTTCCAGTGAGACCACTCACTTACCTACAATTGCTAGATTAACCTTCTGGATTTTAACTGAGTTAACTCATGTGTTTTCTTAGTGGGAGGAGAGAGGCAATTTGGGAAGATAAATGAGCATGTGTGTAATGCTGGAGACCCTGGGTTCAAATTCTGGCCCTTCCACCTACTGGGCTTTGTTTGCATCTATTCACTGGAGAGCTAAGTAGAATCTCCTGACAGAGTCCCTGAGAGGTATTAGATGACAATGCCGAAAACGTGCTGGAGAATGCTGCACAGGAAGTATATATGGATGATTGCTGTTATCTGAGAGTATTTACTAGATCAGTTTTTCAAAAAGATATATTTCAAGTCTTTGGTAGCTGCTGAGCACTCTTCTTGAGGAGTTCGGTGTGGTGTAGATTTTGTTTTGCGGTCAGAAAGGCATTTTTCAAATGAGTGAAAAGTGGGAATAAATTGGATTTTCCGGAGAGCATTTGCATCTTCTCCATCCACAACCCTCACAGCGTCCTGCTTGGGCATTTGCCTTTCACTGGCTCTCCGTGTCTACCTAAGTCAGCAGAGCATGCAGCCAAGCTGGAGGATGCTGCAAATAAAATGAGATTGTTCTAAAGGAATGTTAGAAATGCACTTTGTCAGAAATGTTGGATGGGCTTCTTAAATTGGCTAAGAAATAGAGGCTGAGAGTTGGGATTTTATACCTAATAAGTTTGGATCCAAATTTTTTACAGACGTAAAGCCACCTGGTAGTTTTGTAAGAGAAGGGATTGTATGTATCTATCTTGTATGCCATGGTGACAGTGACACACAGTAATTGGTCAACAAGCCAGTGATAAATGAATAGATAAAAATCAGGTCCATAGTCAGAAGACGCTAATTATGAACCTGAGGCTGTCCACTGCCAGAGTTATGACTGCCTCTGAGCTTGCTTTCCTCATCTATAAAATGAGGAACATGGGAATACCATGCAAAGTTATTATTGCAGTTCAGTAAAATAAGGTAAGTAGAAATGATCTCTGTGTTGAAAAGAACTACAGAAATACCCAATAGTGCAGTATCATCTTGGTTGATAGGCAGCTCCTCTTTATGGTTCCAAACGCAATACAGAGCTCTGGTCCTCTCTGATATGCAGAATTAAACTACACTACTCCATTCTAGTATATATAATGAATGTACATCTTTTTTAAATTAAAAAGAACTGCAAAAGCTCAAGTCACAAACTTTTACAGAAAAGTTGGAAAGTACAAAGAACATGTTTTACTGAACTGTTTTAGAATTAAAAGTTTCCAACCTGATGCTCCATTACCCCCAAACACTTGAGTAGGTATTTCTGTCCAACAACCATATCCTCCTGGATAACCCAATACAAGAATGAGAATTGTAAAATTCATGGGAACAAATCACTACTACATGATCCTCAGGCACCATTTTCCTTTTGCTAATTGTTCCCACTATAGTCTTTGCAGTGGAAGGGTTTCATTCTAAATCACAGATTGCATTTAGTTGGTCTACAACACTCAGTCTTTCCTTGACTCTCAGGACTTTTGTCAATTTTGAATATTACAGGCCAGCTATTCTGTAGAATCTTCCTCAATTTGGGTTTGTCTGGTATCTCTTTGTGGTTATCCTTGTAGCCCAAAGGATAGCACCTGATCTCAATTGATCTGATTATTGATGAGGTTTACTCTGATGATCTGCTCACGGTGGTGTCTGCCAGGATTCTCATAAGTCACTCTTTTCCCCTTTGCAATAAATAAGTATTTTCTGGGAATGTTTTATGAAATTATATAAATACCCTATTTATTATAAAATTTCAATACATGCATTCATATATATTTAAATAAATTTCTTTAGATGTATTTTAGATATTTTTAAATAAATTTCTTTAGATAATGACTCATATTTACTATTTTGTTGAGTGGACATAATTTCTTCTTATTCTTATTTATTTAGATGTTTATTTTCTCCCTTTATGAGACCATTC